AAAATTACTTTACAATTTAAAACTGTATCTTTGGATATTTCTTCTTTCAAACAAAAAAATTTAAACACAAAAATCTTACACATACCTTATGAATGGTATTACAGAAAATTTTGGCGGTTTTAAAACCTTGACTTTTTCAAACACCCTCCTCCTTCCCCGAACCACACCAGTTTTATCGATTGACGCGCTAAACTCAACCAACAATTTGCAAAAGCCTTCCAGAAAAAGAAAAGCCCTTGTCTGATTTGTGATCTTATCAAAACAAATAATTGGTTTCTTGTAACGTCAACTTAAAATAAATAAATCAACCCAGGCTCATTCTGAAAACGTAGCCCCGTGGACGTTTCTTGAGACCGCTAAATACGTTCCGGGAGGTATTTATTTTTGGAGTTTCTGTTGTTGCGAATCCGCGAGAGGCCGATGTGTGCGCTTTTTCGTTGTGTGCCGTTTGCACCCACACTGTTCTCGCATGAACCCACCAGAGATCGCCCAGCCGGTAAGCGCCAAAAGGAACGGCGTCATACCGCCTCCTAGAGTTTGCTTAAAAAAAAGAAATGCAGCCATGCGTACCTCCGGCTACAATTCACGGTCTCCAGAAGCGTCTGCAGGGCTACGTTTTCAGAATAAACCTGGGTTGAAATAAATTGCTTCTTTTATCTTGTATTGTTAATATTAAAGTGCAAGGAGCTTTTATTTAGTTTAGATGACAGAATCCTCGGGCGACATTTCTAAAATTGTTTAGCTTCTTGTATTTCATTATTTGCATCGTTCGTTTCAGTTACATTATTATCATTATCACAATTTGTAATACATAATAATACATATTATATTGCATTTAGTTATTTAAAATAAATACCAGTGTGATTGTATTATTCTGGTATTATAAAGATGCAACAAGATGTAACAGATCATGTAACAAATTTAGGATTTGATGCTTTATTTACTCTCAAACATGTGCCTTGACGAGTATCTTGACTTTTGCAGTCGGCTAACTGGTTGGAGTTGTCACGTTCAAAAGAAAACAGGTAGGCCCATTTCGTCAAGATCGCAAGAAAATAGCTGAACATTTTTTTCCCTCACTCAAGGAAGTAAAAAAATTTAGTAAATATGAATGATGCTCCTCGAGGAACAAGGGGGTTGGGATTGTGTTGAACGCTGAGAAAACTGCAGCAGCAGGTCGTACAGGTTTGACAAGGGTTGGGTCCACAGAAGGAAGAGAGACGTTCAATCTTCAGGCCTTACTAACAGGTTTTTGTCTCCTTATAAAGAGACTTCACCTGTCACGTGAAGTTTTTAATATGACAGTCTGTCATTACAGAAACCATCCTGTTCAATCACTGTCAATATACAGTCAAACTAAAACCGATACCATTTCTCACAGCATTTTAACTGTAGTTTAGAAAATGGTTATTAGATATGACAAGAACTGAGTTAAATGGTGTCAAAACTAATTTATCGGTCACACTTTACAATAAGGTTTCAATAATTAATGTATTTACTACCATGAACTAATAATGAGCAATAATGTATGTACAACATTTATTAGCTAGCATGTTGTTAGTATGATTGTAGTATGAATTAGCATGTTGCTAGCATGTTTCTAGTATGAATTAGCATGTTTCTAGTATCAATAGTATGTTGTTAAAATGTTTGTTAGTATGATTCGAGTATGGATTAGTATATTGTTAGTATGGAGTGGTATATTGTTAGTATGTTTCTAGTATGGATATGTATATTGTTAGTAGGCCTATGGATTGGTAAGTTGTATGTCCAATGTAAAGTCAATGGCAGTTTTTTTACAATGGAAGTCTTTGGAACAGTTCGTCACCTTGGAATTATAAGGTTCTATCTGCGTTCTGAATGATTTTGAGATAACGAGCTTCAAAATTTTTGCATTTCATAGCAAACAGGTCTTAAAAAAAAGTCTTAAAATGTAAACAACCTAAAAAAACATCCTATAATGTAAATAAGTTGTCATTCAATAAGAATGTCAATAACTCATTTTTAACAAAAATGTCAGATAGAACTTTATAATTCTAAGGTGACGAGTAGCTAGGGTGTCATAAGTGGTTGCTAGAGTGTGGTTAGTAAGTTGAAATGTCATTTGTTATTGGCAGATTGGTAGTTGGAGTTAAATGAGCCCAATCTTAAGTCTGTATTACCAACACAATCTTTCAGGAATTCGTAACTTTGATTTAGTGGCTAATTCCTATGATCTAATTCGTACAGTTTAGTACGATTTGCTCATCACCCACTGACGGTTGGGGTTAGGGGTGGGGTTAGGTGCCACACTCCCTTTTTAAAATTGAACATTTTCATACGGCTGAACTCGTTCAAATTTGTATGAATTAGCCACTAAACTGATAAAACGTAAAATACTTACGTTTCCTCATGAGATCAGGCTAGTATTACAGTTCCAATTCTAAGTCAATGGGACTTTTCCGAGTCAGTTTTTGGAAAACCGTTAGTCTGATCAGTTGGAAAAGATATAGCAACCCATGTCAGAGCAGTTTTGAGGTTTTGTGTTAGTTTGGTTTTTGTAGCGTGAACGGTTTAGGAGGAGATGCAAATAGAAATTAGTGTCAGGGTGCTTTCACACCTAGACTTTTGTTTCAGAACCTGTTTCGATTGCCTAGTTGGCAAGGTTCGTTTGACATATGTGAAACCAGCAATCACGCTCAGATCCGCGCCAAATCAATCGACCCGAGATCGCCTGAATGAGGTGGTCTCGGCTCGATTGAAATGAACTCTGGAGCGGAATGATTGTAGTGAGAAAGCAAAATGATCTGAGCCCGGCTTTATCACAGCGTATTATGGATATGTAATAGGCATATATGGCTATATGAAGAGAGAATTATGAGTAGAGAGGGATGTCATTCCTAGCGGTAAATGTGCGTTTCATGTTAAATACGAAAGTGAAAGCATGTTAACTATTAACGAGAGCTGTTTATCCCTTAGGAACATTAACCGAACTGCCGTCTAGTCAAGGGCTCTGTATGAGAGCATCTTACCTCTGATTTATATTTGGTGATGATGTCTGTCGGCGTCACCATTCAAAATTAAAGCGCAGCTTTACACATATTGTCTTATTGCTCATCGCCATAAATTAAAATAAGCACGAATGACAGCAGAGCTCTGCAAAATAAACTATGAAACTGTGACCAATGTAAGGAGAGTTAACTTACACATGACCTGTTTTAGCTATTTTGGTCCATTTAGAAACTTTGCCGTGTGAAAGCGAACCACATCAAGAAGAAAGAGCAGCATTGTAACAATTTTAATCTCTGTTTTGGAACAACCAAATCGATTCACAGGTGTAAAAGCACCCTCAGAAGAAGAAGAAGTTGATGTAATATGATATATATATATATATATATATATATATATATATATATATATATATATATATATATATATATATATATATATATATATATAGTATGTTGGCCAGTGAAGCCACCATAATTAATCATAGTTTAGCATTTACTAATGCATTATTCAAATCCATAGTCATGCTTGTTAACTTTAGATAATCCACTGGGAGTTAACATGAACTAACAACGAGCAACTTTAATGTACATATTCCATTAAATTTTACCCAGATTCTGTTTAAATTTTTTGGACTTTAGATTGTAATGGTTAAGTTAAGTTTCAGTAAAAGCATTTAAATCATAAAATCAATACATGTTAAAATGCTGAATTTTGAATTCCAGTCATTTCAAACACATTCAACATTTTCTTTCCACTGATCTTGTTCAGTACGTCTTCCAGTTGTTTATTAAATGCTACTGTACCTGCTATACCACATTGTGAGGATAAGTTCTTGACTTGTAGCTTTTCCTTGTTTTGCATGTGTGTTTTACTTCATGTCGACATCACACTTGGCCTTTCATGTCCTGTTGATTATGTATTGACAAAACTTTAAGAACAGCTGCTGTCACAAATTTATCTACATTTCTGGAGTAATGCTCTGCTCTCAGTTTAGCATTTAGAGGCAGATTTTTCTTTCTTTCTTTCTTTCTTTCTTTCTTTCTTTCTTTCTGTCTTTCTTTCTTACTTTGAAGCAGTCACAGATGGTTTCAACTTTGAACCAATGTTTATAAGCAGAATTTCACGCCTTACTAATGCAACGTCAACAAACAATGAAAATGCATTTCTGTAAATTGTCTGTAATGTATGAGTTGAATGAGTGTGTATCTATGTTTTCCAGAGATGGGTTACAGCTGGAAGGGCATCCGCTGTGTAAAACATTTGCTGGATAAGCTGGCAGTCCATTCCGCTGTGGTGACCCCAGATTAATAAAGAGACTAAGCCGAAAAGAAAATAAATGATTTAATAAAAAATTTGCGAAATTTTGTAATATGTAATATCTTAAGCGGATAGCTCATTTAGAAATGAAAAAATGTCATCATTTACTCACTTATTTCAAACCTTTACTTGATTTTTTAATACAAAAGAAGGTATTTGGAAAAATGTTAGAAACCAAACCCAGGCTTATTCTGAAATCGTACCACTATATACATTCTTGGAGAGCACCAAATACATATCAGGAGCTATTTTTAATTTTTTTTGCAGTTTTTGTGAATCCCGTCGCAATCGCCGTGTATGCTTTTTGAGTCCCCAAATTTTTCTCACAAATGCTATTTGCGAGTGCTGTTCTTGCGTAAATTCACCTGAGGCTGCTGTCGACTGACTGAATGATTGACCGACCGATCACCTCAACCACCCTCTTCTCTAAACCCAACCAAAAGCACCGATCCAAAAGCACCGATCCAAAAGCACCGATTCAAAAGCACCGATTCAAAAGCACCGATTGAGCGGATCACTCACTTCCAGTTTTAAAAAACGACAGTTTTAAAAAGCAATCCAGAAAAAGAAAAGCCCTCGTCTGGTTTTTATCACGTTTTCAGATTTTACCACATTCTCACTCTGTTATTTATTTATTTATTTTCTGGCTTCTGTTTTTGTCTTACCTGCTTTCTGGAACCGTTCTTCGACAGACTCGGAGCCCATAGTCATGGTGAACTCCTCTCTGCATCTCGATTCCACCGATGTACAAGGCGAGCTACTGGACAAACTGGTAACAGCGGGAAAGCCGTGCATACGGAGGTAAGCAGTCAGCTGGTAAGCGCGGAAGGGAACGGCATCATAACGCCCCATAGCATTCATTTTAAAAGCAAAATGCAGCCATACGTACTTCTGTCTTCATAATTTGTGATCTCCAGAAATGTATATAGGGCAACATTTTCAGAATGAGCCTGAGTTGTAGAAACCTGTAACCATTCATTGATTCATTCATTTTCTTGTCGGCTTAGTCCCTTCATTAATCCGGGGTTGCCACAGCGGAATGAACCGCCAACTTATCCAGCAGGTTTTTACGCAGCGGATGCCCTTCCAGCCGCAACCCATCTCTGGGAAACATCCACACACACATTTACACACATACTCATACACTACGGACAATTTAGCCTACCCAATTCACCTGTACCGCATGTCTTTGGACTGTGGGGGTAACCGGAGCACCCGGAGGAAACCCACGTGAAGGCAGACTGAGCCGAGGTTCGAACCAGTGACCTTCTTGCTGTGAGGCGACAACACTACCTACTGCGCCACTGCCTCGCCCAACCTGTAACCATTGACTTATTATTTACAAATAACATGTTATTTGTTATTCCTTTTGGGAAATCAATGATTACAGGTTTCCAGCTTTCTTTAAAATATCTTCTTTCGTGTTCAACAGAAGAAAGAAACTCATAAATGTTTTGAACCACTTGAGGGAGAGTAAATAAAGAGTCAATTTTTATTTTTGGGTGAACTATACCCTTGACTTCCTGTTTTTGGGCTCTATTTTGACGATCCAAAGCCCAAAGCGCAGGGTGCAAAAGCATTAAGGGCATGTCAGAATTCACTTTTGCTATTTTAAGGATGGAAAAATACACTTTGCGCCGTGGCGCATGGTCTAACAGGGTTGAGCAAATTCTCTTAATGAGTTATAGGTGTGTTTTGAGAATAAAACAATCAGAGTCTCATCTCCCATTCCCTTTAAGAGTCAGTTGCATCGCGCATTTGCTATTTACATGACGGACTTTGTAAGTGGAAAAACTGAACGCTTCACTAGCGAGAAAACAGTTAAACATAGCATCAACGGCGCGAGTATGAGAGAAAGAGCCTCCTCGTTCTTTACTTTCACTTTCACTCTCGTGGATAGGGAAACGTGTTGCACATACGGCGCACATATGAGAGCAAATGCATTTGCTATTTAAACAGCGAGCTGCAAAACGTCAAAATGACTTGGGCCAAGCTAAAACTAGCAAACAACAATTGCGTCGCGCCTTGTGCCGCATTGCGCCGGCTGTAGGGCTTTTTATGTCTGAATTGCACAGTTTTGCTTGTGTTTTCTGCATCGCAGAAATCGTAGGGCTCTAATATTACAATATTTAGACAGTTATCAATACTTTGTTATTCATTCTTACCATCAGCTACTTTTCCATCCACATATTTTTATGCATGTTTTGAAGATGTGCATAAAAACACCAATATGCGCATACATTTTAAAAAAGTGCATTAAAATGTATGCGCATAATAGAGGATGAACTTTTTATTTGATAAAAAAAATGCAAGAAACACTTTTACTAAACAAATCCCAGCATGCACATTAAAAATAGTCATGTGATTTTGTTAAAAGAGATCATGTGATGATACAAATGTGTGTGAATGGCCAAACCAGCACACTTGAGCACATTGTAAAACATCTGAAATGTTGTTTTGGTCAATCTTAAATGCCTTAGTATTAGTGTTGTTATATTAATAATGACCTCCAGGACTGTCAAGAACACCTGCAAATGCCACCACATGCTCATTGCACGTCGGCATCGTCTTCTGAGGCACAAGTCATTTATTAAAGGGCCATGAAACCCCCTCGTTTCAGCAGGGTGTTTTCACACCTCTACTTTGGAAAAAGTCAGAAAAGTGGGCGTGTCCAGCTCTGTTTAGGGGGGAGTGTCGGAGGAACTAAAGTGGGATGGTGTGGGAGTGTCTATTTGGGCACGCGCGAGTTTCAGAGTCAAAAACACACACACAAACACACACACACACACACACACACACACACACACACACAAACACGGGAGAAAGTGACTGTGTTTACATGGACATCTGTTGTCGAATTATTTGCCAAATTATTAAATGGTGGACTTTAACTGCAGTTTAGCTCTTTCATTCAGGGAATTAATTTATGTCCCTCGTGACAAACAAGATATTTGATTCGAGGAACTGCTGTAAGCGTGTATTTTTCATGCAATGTTTGATACCGCACGGCGAATGAGAGAAAAAACCCTCTGCATTTCCCGGAACCTTAGATGCACACGGCAGGTAGTGTCAGAAAGCCGCGTGTGTTATTCCGGTCACAAAATGCGGTGAAAATCCTACACGAGGTTAAAGTTTGGTTGTGGTGCTAACATGTTTACACTCGGTGCAATAGTTAACTTAGTTCGACACGAACAAACTGAATAAACAAAGAGCACTGGTCGCTCACTTACCAAATCTGTAGAGACAGGACAATCACCAGCAACTAGAGCCGCGTCTTTATGAAGAGAAGACTACAAGCGAATCCGGATCTCAGCGTTTGCAGATGAGAACAGCTCTCAGGTAAACAATGTTCCTCCTTAGACACGTAAGTTATTGTTGTCGAGCGTCGCGTACACTGTTAATCCACACGTGATCCTGATAAGCTCTCACAGAGAGAAAATGAAAACGAAACCTAACTGCAGCAAACTATAAAAGCAACACTTCACGCTTGTTTTGCCAACACAACGTGGCGTCTCTGCCGTGTAAACACTGTGACACTAATGAATATTAATGAAGTTGCACAATAGAGCGTGCTGATTGGTTTGAACCAAGCCTTACTCATGCATTAATGCATCACACTGTAAGACGTAATAAGACTCACTCTGGCACAAACGCCCAGTCTGCACGCTGGAATACAGGCTATTATGTCATGACCGTGACGCAGCTTCAAAAATTAGTTTCAAACCGGAAGTATGAATTTGCTTGAAATAACGCAAAAACAACCAATTTACACTTTTTAGTGAAATATAGGTGTCCTAATAGTGTTTTTAGCAGTGTGGGACACATATACGACTGTCAACAGCTCAAAAAATGTGTTTTGGTGTTTCGTGACCCTTTAAGAGAAGACTACAAGCGAATCCGGATCTCAGCGTTTGCAGATGAGAACAGCTCTCAGGTAAACAATAATCCTCCTTAGACACGTAAGTTATTGTTGTCGAGCGTCGCGTACACTGTTAATCCACGCGTGACTCCAGCTGCGCTCTCACAGAGAGAAAATGAAAACAAAACTTAACGGCAGCAAACTATAAAAGCAACACTTCACGCTTGTTTTGCCAACACAACGTGGTGTGTCTGAAGTCTAAACACTGTGACAGTAATGAATATTAATGAAGTTGCACAATAGAGCGCGCTGATTGGTTTGAACCAAGCCTTACTCATGCATTAATGCAACACACTGTAAAAACAACCAATTTACACTTTTTAGCGAAATATAGGTGTCCTAATAGTGTTTTTAGCAGTGTGGGACACATATACGACTGTCAACAGCTCAAAAACTGTGTTTTGGTGTTTCATGACCCTTTAAAAGAAGAAAAGATTAACGCAGCTTCTCCTACCTCAATAAATTCGATTTTGACTGTTGATATTTGGTGCCAGTTAGTCAGGAAGTGACCATTTTGTTTTCTTTTGCACATTGGAGGCAAACGCTGCTTCATTCGCACGTCTTTTATGCGATATCCCTGTTTTGTGCATAAATTTAATTGGCATCTGTGGATGGAAACAAAGCTAATGACAGCCTGTAGTCTCTGCTGTTAAACAGATTCATCAATCCCGAACTTAAGTATTTACAGACGTATTACAGCAGCATCTTGAATTAATATTTTTGTCTACAATATGTCTCAGTCGACTTTAATATACTATCTTTATGTATACAAATTAATTCTAGAACTCTGCAACCACTACTAGTAAAAAAAAAACATCTAATTCAATTAATTATTACATCTGGTCTCTGAAAAAAATTTGGTTAGACTTTTGAGTTTTAGCATAACTGTGCACATTCCACACGAATGGTCCTGAACATATTTTGGGAGACATTTTGAAGGTATTTGTCAAAGCCTCAATGTTTTGCTTCAGGCATTTTTGACGATCGTGCTCTAAAATAGGCAACACACTTCTCCATGTAGGGCAGTGTTAGCAGGATCTTGTCAAGTTGCCTGGTGAAATAAAACACACTTAAAACCCAGAACAGCATTCAAATTCATCTATTCTCTCAACCGGCCATTAAACCATCAGAGGGTTGAGCATTACTTGCCCATGCCTTAAAATGCCCTCCTTATCTGTAACCCGATCCCAGGCAGCAGCTGCCGTCTACTTGTTGCCCTGTTGTTCTTTGTGAAAGGGTGTGTGTGTGTGTGTGTGTCTGTGTGTGTGTGCAAGAGGAGAGTTGTTGATGAGCAAAAGCCTTTTCCCTGTTGACAAGCATTGCAGCTGTTTTTCCAAGTCTCCGAGGAGAAGCGTCTCCTGTCTGAAGACCAGTCCAAAAAACTCAGACTCAAATCTGCGAATCGCTCCTTAATGCTTATTTATACACTAAGATGTGTGTGTGTGTGTGTGTGTGTGTGTGTGTGTGTGTGTGTGTGTGTGTGTGTGTGTGTGTGTGTGTGTGTGTGGTTTTAAAGATTGTTCTGTTACAGAAAGTTTGGTTGGTCTGATTTCTCATAAAATATCTGGCTCATTTAAAACAAACAAACAAACAAACAAACAAACAAACAAACAAACAAACAAACAAACAAGCAAGCAAGCAAACAAACAAACAAACAAACAAACAAAAACAACAATACATAAATAAATAAGCAAACAAACAAACAAACAAATAAGCAAGCAAGCAAATAAATAAATAAATAAATAAATAAATAAATAAGGGCGTCACATGCACATTGCGTAGCATGATGGCCTCATAGCAAGAAGGTCGTTGGTTGGGGTCCGCATGGATTTCCTCTGGGTGCTTCAGTTTCACCCACAGTCCAAAAACATGCGCTATAGGT